TTTTTTAATCAAAAGAGCAAATGGGTTAACAAATACGTTGGTTGAGAAAACCACTTGGAAGGAAAAAAAAATTTAATTTCTTCCCTTTCCCCCATATAGAGCTAATGAAAAAAAAAGAAAAAAAAAAAGAGGAAGACAATGAGTACACATGATTAGTGAACATGCAGCATTGAATTTTACAATGAAAGACGTAAAATGTTCTGCTACTTTGATGAGGGTTTTCAGAACTCTCATAGATCAGAAAAGGATATCGTTCTACCAAAAATGGAAGTGGAAAACAATTACATTTAAATTATGAATCATTACACGCCGTGGATTCAGAAATTAGCATTATTACTCATCTTGTAAAAGGTACACTTAAAACTATTTTGCCTGGTTCTAGTTATTTTGTTATAAAGATTAAATCTTGGTGACTATTTATCTACTTTCTTATCTGTGAAACTTGGGCAGCAGTCAATATGATACAAATATGTTTCCCGATGCCGACAGTACTTCGAAAGTATGTGAGAACTCTTCATTCTATGTTTCGAAATCTCTACATTTAGTGATGAATTAGTATGTTTACTTTTTGTTCATAGGGACCTTTAAATGAGCCCTTTGCTCTGGAATAGTTCTGCACTATTGGTGCTATCCTGCAAATCCTCTGCCTTGTTTCTGTCTTTTATCATATTTAAGAGAAGTAATAATAGGATGAAATGAAGTAGCTTACACATTTATATTATCGTTATCAATGTCCTAGACAATATGTTATAACTGGCATTTAACATGTTTAAATCATACCAAACTGATTCCGCCCCGAAAGAGACTAGGTTACTTTAAACTGGACGTGATGTGAGGGTACACTTGAGTTGTGCCATTTTGATGCCATTTATGTAACATTTTTTAGTCCACTGATCAGTATGTTGTCAATTTCTTGATAATATATTCATATTAATTTAATCAATGGGCTTCTTCTTTCTTTCTAATCTTATGGCAGACATTTAATGAGATTCAGAAGCTATTCAACGAAACTAATGGGCTGAATGTCGGTGACCTTATGACCCCTGATCCCCTTGTTGTTCATGAGAACTCAAACCTGGAGGATGCTGCGAAGTACTAGTTTTCCTTTCTCTGTTCTTTCCTTGTTATGTTCCTCTATTAGAGTCCCACATTGGCTGTTTATATTTACACGATCCACTTAATAAGGTGAGAGTAATCCTCTCCCAACAAGCCGATTTTGTTAGGTTAAATTAGGCCTAATATCCTTTCTAATATGTATTAGAGTCACACATTGGCTGGTGATATTTATACGGTCCACTTAATAAGGTAATGGCAATACTCCCCTAACAAGTCGGTTTTGTTAGGTTGAGTTGGGCCCAATATCCTTTTTAATATGGTATCAAAGCAGGTCAAGTTTTGCAATGTTGGGTGCACCCAATATCGATTTGTTCACAGTTGTTTGGCATGGTCCACGCTGTGCGTGAGGGGGCGTATTAGAGTCCCACATTAACTGTTGATATTTACATGATCCATTTAATAAGGTGAGGACAATCATCTCCTAACAAGCCGATTTTGTTAGGTTGAGTTAGGCCAAATATCTTTTCAATATCCTTGGTAACCAAAGTCAATTTTAAGTCTTCAGTTGAAATTGTTTTCCTGTTAATAGTAGGAAACTAAATACAAAAATTTGTTTCTTTGGTTTAGATTATTCCTTAAAACCAAGTATCGTCGACTGCCAGTTGTAGATGGCGATAGAAAATTGGGAATGTGATTCTATTCCCTGTTCTTTTACGTGATTTGCTTACATTTATCAACAAAAAGTAGTTTCTTACTGGTCTATGTTTGCTCCTATATGAAAGGTTGGCATTATCACCCGAGGAAATGTGGTTAGAGCTGCCCTTCAAATAAAACGTGCTAGTGGCACAATATAAATTCAGGACCGAAGAAATTAGTCTCATGGAAATAATTTCAGCATCATATGAAATGTGCAATATGGTTCTTCAGTTTCTTTGGTTGATTGCTTATAGAATATGGTGATGATTATTCAATGATTTCTCTTACAAGCGTTCCTATTGGGCAATCCTATTCAATATTTGGATTTTAAGTATATAGAAGACCCCAAGAGTTGGAAATTTATTCTTATGTCAGCTTGTGTCTATAAATTTAGTAGGTATATGCACTTATTTGGCATTTGTTTGAAACTAGAAATTCTAGTAGAGATATGGATATTTGCCCCCGGCCTCCTCAAAAGTTTACTGGAGAACGATCTTCTCTCCCAGGCCTCCCTCCCTCGGGTGGCCTTATAGTAAGTGTGAGTTTAATTAGTCTCTATATCTGTGAAGATTAACCACCAGCTTTGCACCAAGATACCGGGCTCAGTAACCTTCAATCGACACCACAACAAGAAAACCCAAACCAAAAGTGAAAACCCTCCACAGGTTGCTCTC